TAACATTTTGTAGCTGAAGGTACTGGTGAAAACCTTCTGCAGCAAGGGAATGAACAACTTGGAGGAAACTTGGGAAAGGGCAGTCATAGCTTCTAGCCCAGGACCTTTTTATGAACATTAGAGAGCCATAGCTCAGGTCCAGATTCAGGTTGCCTGCCTAGGAATGAGGCTCAGTGAAAAGGCAAGAAAAAATGACCCTTGGTCCAAACCCTGCCACACCATCAAGTGAAAAAAAAAAAAACCACCAAGGTGCATCAGGGAAATTAAAAATCAAGATTCTCTATTGGAAGAGCATAAATAAAGATAAAAGCAAGCATAAAATTAAAAACAAAATTTTATTGAAGAATATCATATCTTTGCCATTTTTAGTAAAACACAATTTTAACTGTGATCGACATTGCATATAGTTAATTACAAATGAAGCCCTGACTATATTTTCAGAAATGTTGACAATAAACGTCTAGCAGAAGTTAGGTTATAATCAGTTTGCAAGGGAAAACATCATACATAATACAATATGCTGATAGTATGGCCATTTAAAACATGCCCATCTACCCACAAAAAACAATGGATAGCACACAAGAGTAAGGAAAGGGTCATGATTGATACAATGTCAACATGAGATTCACACTTGACACAGAGATGGGTACTACAAAGTTAAATGAGAAACTCTAAATATGATTATTATGTTAAAAAACCTAAAGGAAACTGGCATTAAATGCGTTATAAATAGTATGATCATAAAATGGGAATTTAATTTTGGAGAATTATAATAGGAAAAATAAAGGACACTTCTAGACAATAATGTAATTGTTTAAGGAAAGCAAAGAATACACAGAAAAGAAGACAATGGAGTATTGTGCAGCTCAGACCCCTTTCTTCACCTAGAGTTCTGGAATCACAGTGACTTCTCCTGGCCTCCTTTCACAGTGATGCATAGCAATGGTCTGTGCAACAATGGAGCTCAGCTTTCAATGAATTTGAGTATGAAAGGGTTCACTGGCACTCAAGACATCAGAGTAGGACCATAGTCTGTGTTCTCACCACTCCATAGTATACAGACTCATAGCTGATTTAAGAGAATCTAGAGACAGAACAGGTGAGGCACAACGTGAGTTTTAAAAGCCCTGGTTCATGCCTGCAGCTGCACCTGGAGACAGTGAACCAGGTGAAGTTAAAGCATTAACAAACCTTCATATTACAATACCTGAGCTACTCGCCTCTGAGGGCTGCCCCCAAGAAGAGGAAGAAACTGAAATATTCTTGGGAACTAGGTCCATGATTCTCAGATGTATTATCCAAAGTAAGTCCTAAATTAAACAATGTATCATGAGGCTCTCTCTGATGGACGATGTGCAGATTTGCATGCGAGTGGTCCCTTTGTAATAAAGTTAAAAAGGGGTTCATCTGGGATGAGAATGTTGGCTGTGTCCTCAAAGAACTCATTTCTGTCCATGACTTCTCCATTCTCCATAACCAGTATTTCCAGGATACAGAAAATGATGAGAAAGATGGTTGAGGGAGACATGGCTTAGGATTGAGAATGACTAGGAATAAAGGAAGTGGTCCTCTTCTCTCAGGGACTTAA